TGTGTGTGTGTGTGTGTGTGTGTGTGTGTGTGTGTGTGTGTGTGTGTGTGTGTGTGTGTGTGTGTGTGTGTGTGTGTGTGTGTGTGTGTGTGTGTGTGTGTGTGTGTGTGTGTGTGCGCGCTTGGTGGCTAACACTTAGCTGCCATGTTGCAGTACTATGGGTGTCTCCAGTGCTTGAATTGGGCCGGTACTCACCGGTACGCAGTACCGGCACTTCTGATTTTTACCCATGTGGTACCGGCACTTCTTACTGAGTACCGGCACCTTGCCGGTACTCAGTAAAATGCCGGTACTCAGCCGCCGGCAATATACGTATATATTGTAAACGCAACGCAGCGCAAATGTGGGTCTGACTCTGCCTCACAGAGGGTGACTGGCTGTCTACATGACGTGGCCTGCCGACATTGCCACTTTCATACAGATCATACTAATGCCCTCGATTGGTCTCTGTGTGTCATTCAAGCTCGGGAGGGTGTGTGCGTGTCTCTATAGATGCTTCAGACAATCAGGGCCAACACAGCTGCTTAGCAGGAAGAGAAGAGCAGGTGGTTAACGGGGAAAAGCGTCCGTATATGTGTCAAAGGGGTCAACGGAGACAATCAATTGAACATATACAGTGTTAAGGGACTGTTTGCCTATATCTGCCGTAGAAATGCCTCTATAATTGATGAAATGGATATAATGGAAATAGATAGCACTTGGCTTTTGGTGTTCGAATCATGATTAGTTTTGGCATGAACCGTCTCTTTAAAAGTTGAAATGTTAACTACATCATGAGAGCTATATCTAAATCTATAGCTCTTTCTGTACACGTGCAAACGCTCCAGTTTGAAAGTTGAATGCATGCCTTTGTGGTTTGTTTTTTTATAATCTCTTGTTGGTTTGCATTCCGGACAAGCTTTGAGAAAGTGTTCACTGAATACATGAGCACTAAATAACTACTTTATTCTAGTATAACTAATGTGTGCTTTTCTTCTATATATTAATATGTTAGCATATTGTGTAGTATGACATGCCATCTTTTGACTTGCTATGCCACTTTTGCTTATATGCCACGTGTGCTGTAACAATGTACATTTCCCCACTGTGGGACTAATAAAGGATTTCTGATTCCGATTCTGATTTTTGTTTCTTGATTACAGAAAAGATAACACAGATGACTGATTTACCATACATACTACATGACTTCGACCAGCAACGTTTTATTCTAAAACTAGGACATAAATGTCCCTGATATGGGACTAATAAAGGATTTCTGATTCTGATATAATAAATTGCTCACTTTTGTTCCTTCCAGGAAGAACTGGAGTCTCCAGGTTACTCTCCTCTATCTGACCATCATAAAGGTCTCAGCCAAGGTAAGGACTCTTTCAAGGACTCCAAGAGTTTTAGTAGGTTAAAATGTGGACTTTTGATGTGTGACAGTGGTGTGAGACTGTTCTGCTTTCTTGGGCTTCAGTGAGATTGTTAGAGAAGGATCAATATTGCATTCTATTTCTATAGGGGAAAAACCTAAAGAGAAAACACAAACAGGTGGTGTTGGTTTCTTGCCAACTTACTGCTTTAAACTGCACCTTTTTTTTACGGTTTTCGGCATTTAATAGTGACAAAAGCCCCCAAATAGGCCACCAGATCAGGTACCTTGTAAAGGAAGGGGAGTGAGGGGGCGTGACTGGGTGGGTGGGGTCTCACACACAATACCACCTCTCTGCTGAGAAATCTGCCTGCCGATCGTACACCTTAAAACAACATGCTGGAGACGCAGAGCGGATAGAGCAGATAACTAAAAGACAGCGTTATTGGAAGGAATGGATATGTTGAGAATACAGAGGGCGAAATCAGAATCATTTGGTCGTGGAAAAATAAAGGAATAACTAGTGAGGAATTATCAGATTTTCTAAGAGTGATCTGGAAATGGGAACAGAGTGGACAAACAGGTTAACAAACAGGTAAAGTTGTATTCTCTGATTAGTTTTAATATGTTGTAACATACAGAAAAACTGGGGAAGTGTTTAAAATAACCCATATAGTTAATGACATTTCTACAAGACATCTCTGTAAAACAAGCGATAACAGTATTTTTCTAAGAATTTTGTATCAGAGATTAATTGTCACAACAATTATGTGTATTGTCTTTTATTTTTTTTACAATTTTAATACATATAAGCCTTTAATATTTTACAAATGTAATCTTTGCTATTGTTTTTTTGTTATGTCTTACACCCCTTTAAATGCCCCATGAATGGAACTAGTTTTTTAAAGTAGAATCCTTTTCAGGCCAGAAATATGAAATACAGTATGTAACTGAGTTTTAAATCTATGCGTGACCAGAGAGTATACAATGGATTTAGGATTGTGTGTGTGTGTGTGTGTGTGTGTGTGTGTGTGTGTGTGTGTGTGTGTGTGTGTGTGTGTGTGTGTGTGTGTGTGTGTGTGTGTGTGTGTG